AGCCTTCCCGTGCGGTGCTGCGTTTTTCTGGGGCCAGTGCCCAAGGGCGCAGTAGCTGGGTCATATGGTAGTTGCACGTTAGGTTCGGGTTTTTATTGGTGTTTCTTAAAGGTTTATTTATTAGAGAGAGCGCGAGTGCGCGAGCACACGTGAGTGGGTGATGCTGCGGCCCTGGGGTTGTCACTACTTTTCCCTGCAGCCGCCCTGACAGGTGTGGGGTGCGGTCCCTGCGGTCTCCTCGGCCCTTCGTGGCCCCTAACTATCTGAACGTCTTTCTGTGCCCGTATTTGCCACCTGCGTGGGGTGTGACGCCTGCTCATGCCTTCGCTGAGTGTCCAGAGCTCTCCCCTTCGTGGGACATGTGGTTTGAAAACCTCTTCTCGTCTGCAGCTTGACTTTTCAGAGGCTGTTGCAGGACAAATGGTTTTAATTTTCAGGAATTCCAAGTAATCCAATTTCCCTTTTACAGACTGCGTTGGGCGTCTAGTCTCAGAGCAATTTCCTAGCCGGCTCGAGATCGAGGAGCTCCTGTTTGTGCTAAGTTTTATACTTCTGTGTTTATGTGTAAGCTGTGAGCTGTTCTGAGCTCGTTTTTGTAGAAGGTGTGAGACCTTGGTCAAAGTTTCCCTTTTTTTCGACTTGTGGACGCCAGAGGCTGAATTTCCCAACATTTCCCTCCTTCAACCAGAAGTCTGCTTTTATGTATTTATTCAAATGTTTATCGGGGCCAACTGAGTGCCCAGCCTGCGAAGCCCCGGGCACCTGCGCTCACGGGGCTCACCCTGCAGGCCTGCCCGGCCACGCCCTGACCCCTTCCGGAAGCCGCCTCAGGACTGTGGTGTCCACGTAAGCCCCCAGGGCAGCCGAGAGGCACGGGGCCACAAGGGACAGAGGCGGCTGGGGGTCGGGGGGTGCGTGGCCCAGTCTACGCGGCCACAATCCACCAGCCCCTCCAGCGCGGACCCCTTCCCGACAGTTATTCCGTACTGCGCCCCTGGCACCGCCCTGGGGGCCGCGATGGGGCAGGAACAATCGCCCAGCTTGTTGTCTCAGGCACACAAAAGTACGCTTTCACAAGCCCTACAAGACCGGGTCTGTGCCCGCCTGGCGCCAGAGGGAACAGGCCCAGGGCCCAGCTGGGGAAGATGCTACTCTGGCCCACGGGCCCCACAGTGGGCAGCAGGGACCAGAGCCCACCCTCCGAGGCCCGGGACTTCCCGGGAGGGGGCCTGAGTTCGAACCAGCACGGCTGGTGGTGGACCCCAGCCTCCAAGATGGACACAGAGCTCCGCTCCAATCCCAGCTAGGCCTCTGTATGAGCTGCCTCCAGCCGCTGTAACAAAATGCCAGACCTGGGGGCTCAACGCATCTGCCTTCCTCCTGTGGCTCCGTGTGGCCCCACGCCCACGCCGGGACACAGTCTCTGAGGACGGTGGGAGGATGCTGGGCGGCATGGCCGGCCAGGCCCAGCCTTGCAGACAGGGGTAGGGGAGGGCTAGTGGGCAGGGACCACCGTCTCCAGCCTCCAGCTTCTCATCTATAAAACGGGACCTCAGAGTGCAACGTGGCCTCTCCGCCTGTGGTGGTCTGGACACCCACCGTCCCATGGTGTCGGAGGTGCCCAGGGCCCCTGGCATGGCTCAGGGTTCACTTCTCATGTGGCATCTGGCCACCAACAGCCCTGGCAGCGGCCAGGGTGACCCATCGGTGAGAGCCCTGACCTCGGGGCCACCCACAGGTTCTGTGACATCCTGCTTCCCTGCGAGTGTGACCGTTTCCAATGAACAGCCGTGGTTCAAAGTGACTTCCAGGATGAGGTCCTAAGAGGCACTGCCCCCTTGGGCCACTCACTGGGGGAAGCCAGACGCCACGTTGCCACGTGGTGGGGAAGCCGAGGCAGCCCCGGGAGCCGTCCCGTGTCAGAACCAAGGCCTCCTGCCCACGGCGGGACGGCCCTGAGGAAGGCGGCCCCAGGGCACGCAGACTCAGCCCCCTGGCCTCCGCCCTGCCAGGGACCCAGGCCAGAACCGCCCAGCTAAGCTGCTCCCCACGCCTGCCCCACACGCAGACAGGGCCACACGGTAGGCGCGTGATGGTTGGGGTTGCCGAATTTGAGGAGTTTGTTACATGGCGAGAGGTAACAGAGAGGCTCCAGACCCCAATCCCAGTTCTGACTCCCTCAGGTGGGTCGCTCGACACCCACCTCCGCTCTGCCTGGAGTCTCCCCCCTAGTCTTTCTCGCTGTGCCTCCCAAGCCCAGCCCAACACCCCAGGTTCCCACCGGTGTTGGGCGCCTGGGCCCCCTTTCCTCCGGGGCGCTCTGGCCTCAAACCAGGACCGTCACGTGCTAAGCCACAGGGTGCTGAAGGGAAGAATGTTGGCAGATCTCTAATGGATTTAGAAGGATAACTTATTTACACATACGTCCCCTACGGGTTCATGTGTAACTTTAACGGAAGCAATTGAGGAGGACGCTGAGGCCTCTCTGACAAAGACAGAGCATGTCCAGGGCTGCGGATGAAGGCCGCACACAAACAGCTGATTCCCACGTTTGCTTTGTTCTCACCGGCTCAGGAGAATCCATGCTCACGCAGATCAGATCCGAGGGCACAGGAAGAGGCTGCCCCCAGGTCTGCAAAAACCCGTGGTCCGCGAGCGCGGCAGCCGTCATGCGGAGCTGCGCTGTCCAGAGGGGCAGCCGCCAGCGACACGTAGCCGTTGTCGGGCGCAGGAAACGTGCCCGCAGACAAGTGGTGCAGGAGTGTGTGCACCAACACCAAAGACGCAATTCCCAGAGAACAGGGTCTCTTATCCGCTGTTTTCTGCACTGATAATACGCTCAAAGGGCAAATGACAACGTTTTCGACATACTGAGTTAAACAAAATATACTATTGATATTATTATTTTTAAGTAGGCTCCAAGCCCAGTGTGGAGCCCGGGGGTGGGGCTGGAACCCACGACCCTGAGACGAAGACCTGAGCTGAGATCTAGGGCTGGGCGATTAAGCGACTGAGCCCCCAGGGGCCCCTAATAAAACGTATCCTTAAAATAAGCTTCTCTACAGGGACAGAAAGCAGATGCGGGGCTGGGGAGCAGGTGGGTGTCAGTGTCCACAGGGACACTGAGGGGGGTGGAACGTTCTGGAGACAGACAGTGGTGGTGCTTAGAGTTGTGCGTAAAACCACTGGACCGTACATTAAAAATGGTGAAAACCAGACTCTACGTTATGTCTATTTTAGCACAAACACCTGAATCTCACCTGCTTCTTTTACTCCTATTTTCGAAGTAGTACTAGAATGCTTAAAATGACATACTTGGCTCACGTTACATTTCTATCATGCAGTGCTTTGAAGTGTGAAGGTTTTTTATTGTTCAAATAGATATTTTAATAAGAAATTTGAGCAAAGTATGTGTTGAATTCCTAACACATGGCAGACAAACAGTTTGAAGACCACTGCCAGTCCCAGGCTCCCACCCCTCCCAGTGATGCCACGCGGCTTCCTGCATCCCGTTCTGAGCATCCGGGACCACACGACCTGGACAGCTGGTGGCCAGGTGGCCTCGTGGCCCCGGGTCCATGGGAGGAGCCCAGAAACCTCAGGTGGCCAGCACTTGTGGTCCTTCAGAAAGCTCCTGGGGGTGGTGGGACTCGAGAGCAGGCCAACCAGCCCAGCACGGGGGTCCAAGAGAGCCTCCCGGGAAAGACCACGTGCTCTAGCGTGGCGAACCACCACCCGGTGAGCCCTCCTGGGTACGCTCCTCAGAACCTCACCTCTGGCCCGACCTCGGGCAGACAGGGGTCTCACTACAACGCCCCCCCAGAGGGATCTCGGCTCAGGGCCGAGAGCTGCACCTCTCACCCACGTCCTCTGTGCATGGAGACCCTTCTCCACCCACCACCACCTCTTACCAGCCCAAGGGACAACTTCAGGGAAGGATCATGCAGGGTTCTCCCCGTCCCGGACCCACCAACTGCTGACCTTCCTTGGGTCATTCCTTGGTCTGGAATTCCCACACGGCCAGAGCAGGGCAGACTGACCTGCATGGGGGCTGGCGTCCCTGTTCCTGGCTTGGTGGTGGCTTTCCCAAGGAGCGTGGCCCCTGTCCAGCCATGAGAAAAGGAGCTTGGCTGGCGGCCCCCCACCCCTGCTCCCATGGGCCCTTCCCAGCCCCACAGCAAGGCTGGAGCCCGGACCCACCGCCGGCAGTCCCGAACAACAGGGCTGCATGTGCGCCCCTGTTTTGCTGTGGGGCTGAAGCCTGCCTGTTGGCCTGGGAGAGGCCAGGGGAGGCCTGCAGCAGGGGGTTAGGCTCTGCCCAGAACCGCGGCTTCCAAAGTCTGGACATGAGGACTGAGTCCTTGGGCTCCCTGTCATCACCCCTGTCCCGCTGGTTTAGAAACTCAGGCCCATCCGAAGCACCTGAGGTGGGCAAGGGGCCTGTTTCCTTCCCCACGGCGTCTGGCGCTCCTGCATTCCCCTAACACCATAACGAGCTCTTGATAACGGGATGGAGGGCGGAGTTGCCCAAGCTGATGGAAGGGAGAGTGCCCCTGTCTGCGGTTGGGTGGGCAGATAAACACGACGTGGTCCATACAGTGGACATCGCTCAGCTGTTAAAAGGAATGGAGCCCTGCCCCCTGCCCCCACAGGGACGAACCCCGAGAACACCAGCCAGACACGGAAGGACACGCATGGGGACCCCACTCCCACGAAGTCCCGGAGTCAGACTCACGGACACAGAGGGTAGACGGCGGGGCCGGGCCTGGGGGAGCGGGTGGGGGTCCATGCGTCACAAGGACAGGGTCTCCGTGTGCGGGATGGAACGTTCTGGAGCCGGACGGGGGCACGGCTGCACAGCAACATGGGTGTGCTCGGTGCCCCTGAACTGCACACTGAGAAATGGTTAAAGTGGTCAATTTTATGTTACATGTATTTCACCACAGTAAAAACAATAGAAAAACCCTCCTCTGTGAAGGATTTCAGACTAAAAGCGCAAGTCGGGAGGAAATACTTCATTGCACATTTAATATTACATGCAGCATTCAGAACGTCGCGATAAATAGGGCAGGCATCACAGAAAATCCACGGGCAAAGGCAGGGCTGTCCGGGGGCCACCTGGGACCGGCAGCCTCCCGGACGTGCGCAGGAAGAGCAAAATCGGGGTAACTGCACCATCTCGTTTGTGACTCCGGGAGCCACCATGAGGCTCTGCACCGCCCCCAGGCCTCTTTGTTCGCGGGGTGCTTGGACGGAAAACACATCTATGGGGGCACTCAGTGGACCATGGACTTGAGAGTGTGGGGCCTGGAGCTGTTTGCTACTTTTCCTGCTTCAGGAGGGTGGGACCTTGGTCCACACTTGTCTCCCAGGGCAAGGGCACATGTCCAGTGGGCATCGCTGGACAACTCAGAAGGGGACCCTGGCTCTCACAACTTTATCCATGTGCCTAGAAAACCCCTCCCCTCCCTCAGAAAGTCTCCAAGAAGCTGCTTTGCAAACAAGTTGAAGAGCAGACGTCATCCAGGCCCCACCCCAACTCCAGGAGGACAATGCTCCCCAGATGGTGGAGCATCCCCAGCTCCAGGGAAGGCGACGGCACGCCACTCGACCCCGTCCCTCCTCTAAGGGTTCCTGTGAGCCTGGGTCCAGGGGCAAGGGAGGGTCACCAGAAGCTCTCATGCCTGTCGTCTCTGGCAGGACCCTCAGGAGCTGGGGCCTTCTCTCCCTTACACTGACTTCCCCTGGAAGCTGGGGTCCCTCTGGGACACCCCCCTGGAGGTCAGCGAGCCACACTGGGGACTGCAGCCCTCATCACGTGACATTCAAGGCCCCAGGGCACGGTGGCACCTGCATGGCCTGACCCAGCCAACCCAGCCTACTCGGGCCAGCCTGGACTCATGGCTGGCCCCTCGGCCACTGGGGGCAAGCTGGCTCGTGTGCCTCCAGAGGCTTGGGCCCCGAGAAGATGAGCCCACCAGCTGCAGAGGGGGAGGGACGTGGGGAGGGGCCGCTGGCATCTCCTCGGCCTGGGGGTCTTGGGGGACCTTTGTTTTTGCAATGCACAGGGTGACTGTTTTATTCCAAACATGAGTCCGGAGGGAAGGGCGGGCCCGGGTGTCCGGGGCGCCCACCCCCCACGGCCCACGGATACAGACGAGCACGCCACCACACAGAAGCGGGGCCGCAGGGCTGCAGGGCTCAGACGGTGAGGGAGATGAAGCTGTTGTAACGCTGGATGTTCCTCTTGAGGATCTCGGAGCAGGGGCCCAGCACACGCTCGAAGCGGGGCCGGTCCAGCTTGACGCACTTGAGGGGCCCCCGGGCCACTACGGTGGCCGCCCGGGGCCGGTTCAGCAGCAGCGCGATCTCCCCTGGGGGGCGAGAGGGTGGTCAGGGGCCCGGCCCCCAGGGCTGCCCACACCGCTCAGTTCCACTGGATTCCAACAAATACACGTTTAGTGTGAGCATGTCCCATGGAGTGTTGGGGTACAAACACGTGGCTCCCCATCAATCTGCCGCGACCCCACGTGGTGTGCAGCCTGGGCCCCTGCCAGAACTTTCGTGGCTAGGGGCTCGAGGTTATGAACTCCCGGCGGACGGCCATGTCCGGGACACATCCGTCGATGGCGCCCAGGCCTGCACCCCACACGACCCCTGCAGCTCTCCACCTCAGGGCCCTTCCAGGGACCCCCCAGTGAGACACGCACCCTGTGAGGGCGGGGACTCCAGACTCACCGAAGTAGTCAGAGGGCCCCAGGCGCCCCACCTCCACGTACTCCTCGTTGGGGGACCGGCGCTGGAGGACGGAGGCCGTGCCCTGCAGACGCCAAGGGGACACGTGAGGGTCAGCGGCTGGAGAGGGCACAGGCAGGGGAGGGGGGCACGGCCTGAGGTCACCCAGCAGGGGAGTCACAGGTGAGGGGGTCACACCCAGCAGGGGGTCACAGGTAAGGAAGTCAGAGGTGAGGAGTCAAAGGTGAGGAGGTCACAAGGAAGGGCCACAGGTGAGAGGTCATCCAGCAAGGGGGCACGCCCAAATCCCCTTCTTGCCAGCTTCCGTTCATGTGCCCCCCCTTCTAAGCTGAATTCAGGGTTCTCCTCCTCAGGGACAGAAGGATGTGGAGTCAGAACCTCGCTGGGTTCTGGCCAAGGGCATGAGGCCGCCAGAGGCCATACAGTGGGGAGAATCTTGGAGCTGACCTTGAGCTAGCTCTCAAGGACATGGCTCTCCAGCGGGATGGGCGTGGCCTCAGGTCATTCACCCAGTGAGCAGTGTGGCTCCCTCCCGACCCCCAAACAGGGGTGTCTACAGACGCTGCCGGCTCAATGATTAACGCAGGCCTTAGAGGCCAGCACAGGGCACGCCAAGCACATTTCAGCCGAAGTCTCCCGCTCCGGGGGGACCTGCAGCCTCACAGCCGGGCAGGAACGGGCTGAAGCTCTGGCACTGCGTGGGTTCTGACCCCAGGGCCCCTTCGCCTCCAAGCCACGTGGGCTAGTCCTCTGTTTGCGGGGACCAGACACCAGCCGCGTCCATACCTTCCTATTCTACACCTGTCGGCGGGCTCGTGCCGCCGTGGAGACTAAAAGGGAGGCTTTATAAACTGCCTAGAGCACCCAGTCGGTGCTCAACACTGACCCTGCAAAGTGGGTGTCGATAAGCGGCGTCCCTCCCGCAACCAAGCCCCCCGCGGCTGGGCTCAACGGCCTCCCGAATAACGGAGCCACTGGGAGGGGCCACCAGCTTCTTCATGGCTGCCAAGGGGACTGAGGCCCGGGTAGGACGTGGGCCCCTGCACCCCCCGCTGCCCTCAGCCCTTAGGGCGCGCCCACAGCTCTGCAGCCCAGCACCCCAATGCCCTTGCAGCACGAACAAACGTGCTCTTGTTCCAAGGTGGGCTCAGTTCACCGGCTCACCGTCTCTGGCCGGGCTGTGTGCGGGTTAATGAGTAACTCCCACCTCACCTGTCATAAGACCCTGCTGGTGCCGTGGTGCCTGGAATCTCTGGGCACCAATCGGCAGCCCCTCCGGCTGGATTCCCCGAGCTCGCCCCCGATCCGGCCGTGGGGCCACTCGGCTCATGGGCCTCTGGGGTGTTTATGAAGCTGGCTGATGGATGGTGCCAGACGTCTAAACAGCCAAGCGACGCCACCACCACCCAGGAGTTGCGGCTGGTGGGGGGCCTGGAGAACACTGTTCCCTCCCCGAGCCCCTGGGAGGAATGGAGTCCTGGCCCCTACGGCCCACGCTGGGTCTTCCCGGCAGCGAGACGTGGGGCAGGTCACCCGAACGCCACACGCGGTTGCTGCCGCCATGAGAGCCTGGGCCCCCTGTGCTCAGGGCCGCCATGACAAGCATTATTTTTCTCGATACCCTGTTGTGCCAACCTAATTCTCTTTCACATTTATGTCCTTTACCTTGTGATGCATGTAATCTACATGCCTTTCACTCCCATTTTAGACAATTTTCCAATTTACAATGGGATCATTTTCTTCCTCCAAAACCCCAGGCATGGAACTGGAGGCCTTTGGTTTGCAGAATTATTCGGTGACACTCTCCAGGCCTACAGTGTCCCTTCAGATGCGTTGAACTCCCAACATCGGCAAACCCAAGCGGAGGGGGCTGAGGGCTACTGGGATTCCGCTGCCCAGATGTGGGTCAGGGACCTGGGCTCATTCCCACCTCCTGCTCTGGCGACCTCAGTCCCTCCTGATGGCTCAGTAGCTGCCGTGGTTCCGGGAGTCACCAAATGTCTCCCCATGCCATCAGCAGGAAGAGAACCCACTTCTTCCTCCTGCAGCTCTATCAGCAGGAAAACCTTCTAGAAGCTTCTGGCAACCTTTCCTCTTGCTGCATTGACCCAAGCAGGTCAGATGTTCACAGAGCCACCGCTGAGAGGGTGGGCACCAACGGGGAGGGGCTGGAGGTCCGGGCTGTGTTCACGGGAAGGAGCAGGATGGGCTCGGGGTGATGGGGCCAGCATGGGTCGGCCACATGGACGCTCACCTGAGACCACCATCCCCCGTGTGACTGGTACCATATCCTTTCTGGTGGCACACAGAGCCACGGCCACATGAGACGAGGCCACCGACACGGGGGAGCACACGTGCCCTGCCCACACGCCCTCGGAGGACGTGTGCACTCTGGCACGCGGGTGCGGGAGCTCAGGAAAGTGGCTGGCGACCCACTGTCCCAGCCAGACGGCAGCGAGGTAGGCACCTACGGGAGAGCCCTCGGCAAACACAGGGCAGGGAACAGCGCCGTCTGTCGTGGGCCGCAGCCCCAGGCCTCCTTCATGGGTAGATGGGACCACGTGGCCACGTTCTCACAGACTCCCTTTGCGTGGCTGTCACGCTGACCGCGGGCAGCAAGGCGCAGTGGGGGCACCAGGGGGAAGGGCCACGTGGGACAGCCTCCCAGCCCAGGACACACGCTCACAAGAAGACACTTTGTTCTTGCAGGTGCGCTGTTTCAGGGCCTCTGTCCCAGCAGCACCGACTCCCCCACCCACACACCATCCCCCAGCGCCCAGTGCAGGACCGTCGAGGACTGCTCTGTCTGCCCAGTGCCGGCCCGAGCCTGGAGGGCGCAGACCTCCACCCGGCGGAGCGTGGTTCCCACGACATGACACGCCCCGGTCCTGGAAATAACCCTCCCATCCGAGCCCTGCTTCCCAGACCGCCGTAAGGGCAGCGCGGACACCCTCGCGGGACTGCGAGTTGGAATGTTCTGGGCTGGAAAAACACACTTGCCAAAAGTCCAGATCATATTCCCCAAATTTCTCACTTAGTGATTCTAACCCTGGTCTGAAAATAAATCAGGTCACACGGAGCACGGCTGGGAGGACGCAGGAGAAAAGCGTTAGCACAGGCATCGAGGGGTGGGGATTATAAATGACCCGTTTCCTTCAGCGTTTTACTGATTTTTCCCAAGAGTTTCCTATGAAATCAAAAACCAAAATAAACGTTTTGGTTTCCGACAACGGGCAGGTAATGACTTTCATGAGAAAGACCCAGCGAGGTGGCAGCAGAGAACAGCCGGGTGGGGCGGGCACTCGGGGAGCACGCCTGGCCCCAAGCCTGTCCTCCGGACCCGCGCTGCGTGTGCAGCAGGGACCCTCGCTGCATCCATTCTCTTGGGCGTGCCTTCCCACACACAGTGCACAGAGCGACCCCCTGCACCCGCCCACCGTCTTGGAGCCCCACCCTGGTGGGATGGCAGCCATCATCGAGTCGGTTGGAGCTGCGGGCTGGTGGCGGTCGCCCCAGTGCCCGCTGGACCCTGATGGCCCCCAGTGAAGGGGGGAGGGGCGGGCGTCCATCAGACGCTGATGTGCCCGTGAACAACTGAGCACCTGCTCTGTGGCTCCTTCTGCGTAGACCAGTGCTGTACGGACAGTATTGGGGTTTCTGGAGGAGCAGTCATTGCAGCAGACAATAGCCTGTCCCAGCACTGGGCCCATCGAGCTCCTCCTGTCTGTTCTAAGGTTCTGGAGCCTCGTCTCTGCCCAAGCGCTGGTCCACCTCCCTGCGGCGTGGCCGAAAGACTCGGCCCAAGGGTGTCACACGCTTGGGGGCAAACTGCTGAGGCACACACACTGGCCCGTGTTCGTGCTGGCGTTCAGCGAACGCTCCATGAGGCCGGGGCCTGGGCGAAGGGAGAACAGCAGAGCCACGTGGTCCCCAGGGCTCCAAGAAGGGGGCAGGGAGCACCAGAGTGTGGGGCGCCACAGGCCCTGCTTGGGGAGGGTTCCTTCTCCAAACCCAGTGATTGTCTCATTCCCCCTCAAGCCGGCGGCGCCCAAGAGGAGCTCAGGAAAGTGGCTGGCGACCCATGCCCCAGCGGGCAGCATCTGGGAGACATGCAGGCGGCCGCACCACACGTGTCCTTGGGCGGAACGACAGAGGGGCGTGCAGGTCGCAGGCCACGGCTCCGTTCCTCTGGGCTCTGCTCCCAATGGCCGTTCTTCCCTGCCACCCGAGCACCCACGGCTTCCACAGGCTCAGGGCACCCAGGGCTCACAAGCCCAAGGCATCATGGCCACACACACCCCACCGCGAGCCAAGGTAGGAGAGAGGTGCCAGAACCCAGGGCTCCTTCCAGGTGGGGGCGGCTGGCAGCCTGCTGTCGGCTAGTCTGGGGTCAAAGTGGTTGTGGTGCTGCCCCCAAGCACCCCATCGAGGACCCACGGGCTTCCAGCTCAGCAGAGCCCGAGCCCAGCAGCCACCTGCCCTGTCCCCAGGCACCAGGGCCTGCAATCTCCCTGCACGGGCTGCCAGCCTCCACTGCAGGTACCAGAGCCACTGGGTGGGCTCGGGCTCAACGCCTCCCCAAGGGGCGGGTCAGCAAGCCCAGACCAGCCGTCTGCCCAGCCTCCGTACCACGGCTCCTGTGCCTCCCTCCACGTCGCAGCCAGAGCCTCAGGCCCCAGGCTCCCCCCACGTGCTCCATCACTGTTCCCGTGTGTGCGCCGTCCCTCTACAAGGCTCTCCACCCGTTCCAGCGGCACCCCATGGCACACCAGGCTCTTTGAAGACAGGCCTGGCCCCTGGCCTGCACATACATAGGCCTTCCCAGGTGATGCCACCTTGTACCACATCACCTCCAGCTGCGTCTCCCTCATTCAGCGTGGAGCTCCTTCCCCGCGCACCAATCCCTGGGGGAGACGCCACTGGCCCTCTGCCTGGACTTGGGCTCTCCCGCCCCTGCACGGTCCGGGTCACGCTCCGGGCTCCCCACACGGCCCCCCGTCCACCTCCACGCTCCCCCACCCTCTGTCTCAAGCGGCTCGCGGGCCAGGGGGCCTTGTGCTCATC